TATAATCTCTTTGATCTTCTCCCCCATCCACTAAACGGTTGGGAGTGAGAATGCAAGCAAGAGCAAGAGTAACAAGTTATTATAGTTTCAAGTTTAACGCATTTCAGAGAACGAGAAAGTTGCGATTCGATTGATTAATTGATTGTTTGATAGTTAGTTTTTTTCGATTTTTTTATAATATCAATAAAAACAAGTGAAAAAAGTAGAATAAACATAATTTACAAAAATTTGTTAAAAAGGTGTTTGTTGAAGTTTGTTTGAAAATAATAAGGAGAAATTATAATTGATCTTAAATAATATCATAAAATAAATGAAATTTGTATGTGGTGTCGAAATTTTTAGTTTTGAACCTAAATAGAAGTTTTAATGAAACTTTGCCTGAAAATATTTATATTTTTGTAATTTTTTTTTTTCTACTTTTTCTAACTGACCTCCAAATAAATGATAATGATTTTTTGATATTTTTTTTAGTTTCTTGTCATCAATGAATTAAATTAAAAAATCATGATGCAAGTTGGAAAAAACTTAACAAACTTACCGGGTGGTGTAGGACCCATGCGGGCTTGTTCTGTGGTAGGTGAAGCTTCCTGAGGTAATGGTCTAGGTATAGAGGCAGCCGTATTAATATCTGGATGAGTGGCTCTCCAATAGGTCTGTAAATCAAGAGAGAACAGTTACATTGCATATAATATTATAATTTTTAATAACGTTAAGTCCATGATCGCGTAAATAAAAATTGAACTCTCAAATATTGTAAGAAACTATAGTTTTCTTCAGTTTTCAATTTTCATTTTAAATAAATTCATACAAAATTAATTACCTCTAAATATTCAGCAATATGTTCACAGGCATCTTCTAATTGATTTTCATCTAGGATAACATCAAACATTTCCGGTGGACATTGAGCCAATTTTTCAGCGGCTACCATTTGTACGGAAAGATTTTTTGCCTGTGATTTACCACGGGATTTGATTAAACGCTGTAAAACCTAAAAAATAAAAATAAAATATTATTCAACAGCTCTTTACCAATAATAATCTCATGCAACTCTTCTCACCTTACTACTACTAATTTTAAGATAAACTATTGTTGGTGCTAGTGAAGTTTTTGCTAGTTGTGACGGATGATTGATTGTATCACAATCGAGTACTACTAATTGTAACGTTCTGGCCAATTCGAATATTCGTTCGATCTCCTCCTGTACTTTACTCAAACAATCCGAACGACTGCTTGAACGCTCCATGATCGCACGCTTCGAGGGATTATTCATGATGGAACGTTTCGCCAGCGATATATCGGCCATGACTCGTGTTATTATGATACGACCTTCGAAACGATGTTTCAGGAAGTCGAATAAAGCCTTTTGCATCATATCGGTTACTTCGTAACCTTTTAAACTTGGACCCACTAAGACGACGGGACGCATCGATGGCACAACATCATATGGGGATGCGGTCTCTTGTTTCTTGAAGAATGGTTTGCGTTTCTCCTTGTTGGGCGGTGTGGCGAGTGTTGCTTTACCACGTCCTGGTCCCATGGAATCTGATTCGTCACCTGATTAGTTAGTATCATCGAAAAAACAAGCAAGAGAAAGAAAAAACGAAAGAAACGAAAAAAGGTATGGAGATTCGAATGAGCGAGTTTATGGCATCTACATGAAAATGTAATTGATTTTATTTTTCTTGTTGTAGTTGGTTTTGTTGTTGCTGTTTTAGTTGCAATTTGATTATAATATTTTTGTTTAATTGATTTCTAACGTGAATGGGTGTTTTTTTGGTGGATAATTAATTTTTTTTAACGAAAATCGATATATAATTATTGTGGGTGTGGATGTTTTAAAAAATGTTTAAATGTATGTACAATAATCATTTTAAAGGTGTATTGATGGTTGTAAAGTACAGAAGTGTGAAATGTCTAATGTAGGTGTAAACAGAGATTTCTTACTATATCATAAGATATATTTGAGATCGAGTATTTATAATGACGAACTATTAAGGATCCACAGTTATATTTGTTATATTCTAAAAAAAAAATAATTTAAAAAAACTAGAACAGAACTAAAACTGAACTAGAACTGAATAGAACTGAATTAGAACTGAACTAGAACTGAAATAGAACTGAACTAGAACTGAACTAGAACTGAACTGAACTAGAACTGAACTAGAACTGAACTAGAACTGAACTAGAACTGAACTAGAACTGAACTAGAACTGAACTAGAACTGAACTAGAACTGAACTAGAACTGAACTAGAACTGAACTAGAACTGAACTAGAACTGAACTAGAACTGAACTAGAACTGAACTAGAACTGAACTAGAACTGAACTAGAACTGAACTAGAACTGAACTAGAACTGAACTAGAACTGAACTAGAACTGAACTGAACTGAACTAGAACTGAACTAGAACTGAACTAGAACTGAACTAGAACTGAACTAGAACTGAACTAGAACTGAACTAGAACTAACTAGAACTAACTAGAACTAACTAGAACTGAACTAGAACTGAACTAGAACTGAACTAGAACTGAACTAGAACTGAACTAGAACTGAACTAGAACTGAACTAGAACTGAACTAGAACTGAACTAGAACTGAACTAGAACTGAACTAGAACTGAACTAGAACTGAACTAGAACTAGAACTGAACTAGAACTGAACTAGAACTGAACTAGAACTGAACTAGAACTGAACTAGAACTGAACTAGAACTGAACTAGAACTGAACTAGAACTGAACTAGAACTGAACTAGAACTGAACTAGAACTGAACTAGAACTGAACTAGAACTGAACTAGAACTGAACTAGAACTGAACTAGAACTGAACTAGAACTGAACTAGAACTGAACTAGAACTGAACTAGAACTGAACTAACTGAACTAGAACTGAACTAGAACTGAACTAGAACTGAACTAGAACTAGAACTAGAACTAGAACTCTAGAACTAGAACTGAACTAAAACTGACTAGAACTGAACTAGAACTGAACTAGAACTGAACTAGAACTGAACTAGAACTGAACTAGAACTGAACTAGAACTGAACTAGAACGACTAGAACTGAACTAGAATGAACTAGAACTGAACTAGAACTGAACTAGAACTGAATTAGAACTGAACTAGAACTGAACTAGAACTAGAATAATTAGAAATGAAACATAATGAAAAGTATTTATTAGATCAATTGTAGGGTACCCTTAGTGGTTTCCAGTAATTTCCTTCAAATGACTTAAAAGAAATCCCCATACATATATGTATGTAAAATAACAACAATTAACATTAATTATGTGTGTATTTTATAAGACAATAATGACAACAACTACAAACAAACTAAATATACTAGTTAAAACAACGGAATTTTATGTCGTTACAATTTTTTTTTATTTTGTTGCTTTAATACTGTAAAATATTTCAATTGAAATCATTTTCAGTTCAGCTCAACTGGTATCTTAAGTAATTTAATTCTTTTTTATTAAGTTGTTGCAGTGTTGTTGTCGTTACAGCTATTGTTGTTGCAGGGTAATTAAACTTATTTATTTTATTTTTTGTTGCAGTTGAAGTGTTAGTGAATAGACTTGGTGTTGAGTGAAGTTTTAGTCAATTCAAGGACTGCGTAATATAAAGTAATTTAAGATATTTTTTTTTGTAATAAGAAAAAAATATACAGTCTCGTTTAATATTTTGAAATTTAATACAAATTGACATAGTTTTACTGGTTTTTGTTGTTATTATGATGAGAATTTAATATAAAAGGTAGTTGAAAGGTTTTTGTTGTATTTTAAAGAAAATTTTTTGTATTTTTTATTAAAACACGTGATTTTGTTTTATGTCGTTGAAGGGAATAAAAGGTTCATTAACATTTTGTTTTAAAAAAAACTTCTAAAATTTCATTCTATATAACATTCTATATCAAAAGCAGTTTTTTATAGAAAATTGTCAGGAACAGTTTTTATGGAAAAGTATGTAAAACAGTTTTCTTTAGAAAATTTTGTGAAAAACAGTTTTCTATAGAAAATTGTCTAAAGCAGTTTTATATAGAAAATTGTGTAAAGCTGTTTTCTAAAGAAAATTGTGTAAAGCAGTTTTCTAAAGAAAATTGTGTAAAGCAGTTTTCTAAAGAAAATTGTGTAAAGCAGTTTTCTAAAGAAAATTGTGTAAAGCAGTTTCTATAGAAAATTGTGTAAAGCAGTTTTCTATAGAAAATTGTGTAAAGAAGTTTTCTATAGAAAATTGTGTAAAGCAGTTTTCTATAGAAAATTGTGTAAAGCAGTTTCTATAGAAAATTGTGTAAAGCAGTTTCTATAGAAAATTGTGTTTTTTATAGAAAATTGTGTAAGACAGTTTTTTATAGTAAATTGTGTAAAGCAGTTTCTATAGAAAATTGTGTAAAAACAGTTTTCTGTAGAAAATTGTTCGAAAACAGTTTTCTATAGAAAATTATCTAAAGCAGTTTTCTATAGAAAATTATCTAAAGCAGTTTTCTATAGAAAATTATCTAAAGCAGTTTTCTATAAAAAATTATCTAACGAAGTTTTCTATAGAAAATTGTCTAAAGCAGTTTTCTATAGAAAATTGACTAAAGCAGTTTTCTATAGAAAATTATATGAAAACAGTGCGAAAACAGTTTTCCAGCAAATTGTGTAAAGCAGTTTGTCTAGAAAATTGTGTGAAAAACAGTTTTCTATAGAAAATTGAGTGAAAAACTGTTTTCTATAGAAAATTGTGTGAAAAACTGTTTTCTATAGAAAATTGTGTGAAAAACTGTTTTCTATAGAAAATTGTGTGAAAAACTGTTTCCTATAGAAAATTGTGTGAAAAACTGTTTTCTATAGAATGAAAAACAGTGTGAAAAACTGTTTTCTATTGAAAATTGTGTGAAAAACTGTTTTCTATAGAAAATTGTGTTAAAACAGTTTTCTATAGAAAATTTTTGGGGTAAACAGTTTTCTACAGAAAATTTTTTGCGTAAACAGTTTTCTATAGAAAATTTTTTGCGTAAACAGTTTACAGAAAACAGAAAATTGTATGAAACAGTTTTCTACAGCAAATTGTGTGAAACAGTTTTTTTTTTAAATTTTCGTAGAAACTTAAGTGCCTACAGTTGTCTTTAGAAACTTCCTGGGAGCAGTTTTGTCTGTTCGTTTTTCTATAGAAAATCAATTTCATTAATTAATGATTTCTAATTTCTTTAAAAAAAATATTTCAACAATTTTCTCTTAATGAGTTTTCCAAGAAGAAACATAACAAGTGTTAAATTTTTTTCCAACACCCAACCAACCAATACATTAAGACAAATTAAGTAAAAACGTTATAAAAAAAGGAGTGAAATGAAAAGTTGCCATTAAACTAACCCAGTTAAACCGTTAAATTATAACTAAATTAGTACAATAACAACAACTACAACTTAAACATAAAATAACTGACAAATCAAATCGAAATCAAAAAAAGAGCAATAAGAAAATGTAAGTTGTAGTGGCTTTAACAAAAACATTTTAAAAACTTAATTAAATCACTGTTTAAGAAAAAAAAGGAAAAACTTTAGTTAAACTATGTTTGACTGCCAGTAACTAAGTGCGAGTGTGTGTTTTCAAACTCAAATTAACATTAAAATAAATATCAGTTGTAGAAGCAGCAGAAGAAAAAAACCAAGCCCACCTTTTTAACGGTTTTTTTTTACTACATGGAACTCTCAACAAACATATAAAATTTTTATTTTCTTTATATTTTTTTCAAAAATGAAATGGTTGTAAAAGTTTTTTGTTGTAGTTGCCACAACTACTAAAGTAGTTGTTGTAGTTTTCTTTTTTTTCTTTCTTACCTTACGAATCTATTAAAAACGAAACCAGAAGATAAATGTGTAACTTTTAAGTTTTTCCTACAAATTCGATGATTTTTATAAAAAAAAAACAAATAACAACAATAAAAAATATGTTAAAGAAGGTGGTCATTAAGTTTATGGCCATTAGGTGGAGACAACAACAACAACAACAAAACTTTAAGGAAAAATTATTTAACAACAGTTAACAGCAAGATATCAAAGTACAAATTTATTCAAAGAAAACTGATCACAAGAAATTTTCTATAGAAAATTAAACAGTTTTCTATAGAATAGTGTCAAAAGCAGTTTTCTATAGAAAATTGTCTAAAGCTGTTTTCTATAGAAAATTGTCCAAAGCAGTTTTCTATAAAAAATTGTCAAAAGTAATTTTCTATAGAAAAAAGTCTAAAGCAGTTTTCTATAGAAAATTGTCTAAAGCAGTTTTCTATAGAAAATTGTCTAAAGCAGTTTTCTATAGAAAATTGTCTAAAGCAGTTTTCTATAGAAAATTGTCTAAAGCTGTTTTCTATAGAAAATTGTCTACAGCTGTTTTCTATAGAAAATTGTCTAAAGCAGTTTTCTATAGAAAATTGTCTAAAGCAGTTTTCTATAGAAAATTGTCTAAAGTAGTTTTCTATAGAAAATTGTCTAAAGCAGTTTTCTATAGAAAATTGTCTAAAGCCGTTTTCTATAGAAAATTGTCTAAAGCAGTTTTCTATAGAAAATTGTCTAAAGCAGTTTTCTATAGAAAATTGTCTAAAGCAGTTTTCTATAGAAATTTGTCTAAAGCAGTTTTTTATAGAAAATTGTCTAAAGCTGATTTCGATAGAAAATTGTGTAAAACAGTATTCTATAAAAAATTGTGTAAAGCAGTTTTCTATAGAAAATTGTCTAAAGCAGTTTCCTATAGAAAATTGTCTAAAGTTGTTTTCTATAGAAAATTGTCTAAAGCAGTTTTCTATAGAAAATTGTCTAAAGCAGTTTTCTATAGAAATTTGTCTAAAGCAGTTTTTTATAGAAAATTGTCTAAAGCTGATTTCTATAGAAAATTGTGTAAAACAGTATTCTATAGAAAATTGTCTAAAGTAGTTTTCTATAGAAAATTGTGTAAAGCAGTTTTCTATAGAAAATTGTCTAAAGCAGTTTTCTATAGAAATTTGTCTAAAGCAGTTTTTTATAGAAAATTGTCTAAAGCTGATTTCTATAGAAAATTGTGTAAAACAGTATTCTATAGAAAATTGT